GTATTGAATAAAATATTGTTAACTTTTTTTATAAATTTAATTGTTTGCGTAGATAGAACCTTTACTCAATCAATAACTATATAACTTTGTTAATATAGCACACTTTGTCAACATATCATTATAGGCTATAGCAGACAGCAGTATTTACTGTGGTACATTTGTATTGCTACTTAAATGTTTAAAACTAAATCTTGATTAAACAGTATTATAATAAAATTTAAAAGAATTGATAAAGTATAAACGTACACATTTATAAATATTAAGTATAAGATTTATGATACTCGTTATTGTGTAGCTTTCTAAGAGTGAAATAATTTTTAGAATCAGTTTCTTTTAGTTACAGAGATTAAGTACCACTTACTTACGAACAAGTTTTATCTCATTATACATTACTCATTAGTAGGTATAGTCGTATAAATATAAATATAGATTTCCTCTGCGTATTTATTTTTTGTGTACTAATGTTAAAGACTTAAAGTGTTGTAATTACAGTCAAATATACTATTGGTAAATCAAAAATAATACTTTACCATTATATTTCATAATAATAAATACACCTATACCAAAAATCAGTGATCGGGACGCTACATGTTTTTTGTTATCACGCTAACGCTACAGATACTTCTCCCTAAAAAGTAGCTCGCTATCGCTACTTTTTTTAAAAATAATGTAGTGCCCTACTTCTAACGCTATTGTTTAAATGTAGTACGATACTTTTCACTACATTAAAAAAAAAAAAAAATGTTCTTATTAAAAACCAGAGTTTGTAGTTTGTACTGATCTGACATTTAGTCATTGGACGTATGGACAGGATTTAACTATACGTGAGGCGTAGATCCATAGAACATATTATTTACGAAGGGACAGATTTCTTAGCTACACTTAGAGCTTAAGATTTYACTATTTTTTACATAAATATATTTTGCATTTTAAAATACATAGCAATGGGAAATAACATATAGAAGGGACTCAGGATATCACCCCTTGACAAAGCTAGGCAAGTTAGTCACTTTTTTCAACTAATTAAACTTAAGTTACTTTAATATAAAAAGTAACTAAGTTAACATATAATTTAGACATTTAGTTAGAACTTAGTTTGCTAAGAATAGTAACTTAAGTTAAAAATTGGTTTTTTTTTTTTACTATAAAATATAAATGTAAAAAACGTGGGTTAAACCAAAAAACCTCAGTAATACACTCATTATTATCATAATATAAATAARCAAATATAATCATCAAAAAGATTGTAGATAGTGACAAAATAATGATAATTTTCGCTACCTATACGCTTATTGTACATTTTTAAAGCATTTAATGAAGCGCCGCTACAATTAGCGCGCTACTCCCGAACACTGCCAAAAATATAAAATCAACATGTCTATAATTAGTTTAAAAACAGTTAACAATTTTTGATTTTTTTTTTTTTTTTATGTACAGAAAATGCTAAATCATTTACATAGCTAAGGTTGTTTTTCTAGTTACAAAATCGATTTTGTCGAAAACTAGTTTTGCAGCATGAAAATGTCGTTTTTATTTTTACTTTTTACCCTCTCCCCCCTTTAAGTACCAATTCGATAATTGTTTTATGATAGATTTTAATAATGAACTATCATAACGAAAGCGCGTTATTTGTGAAATATTATTATTGTAATATGAACTGTWGTGAAATGTAAGCGAACGCGTTGTTTTCGATACGTACAATGACTACAATGTAGGTAAATAATAATATCAGTTGACYTTTTTTTTACTGTTGCACAGGAATCGGTCACATGGTGGGTGCCGGGATTTACGTACTGATCGGCACGGTCGCCAAGGAAATGGCTGGTCCAGCGATCATACTATCGTTTATGTTGGCTGGCGCAGCGTCCATGTTGGCTGCATTGTGCTACGCCGAATTCGGTACTCGCATACCAAAAGCCGGTTCTGCGTACATCTACACGTACGTGAGCGTCGGCGAGTTTTGGGCATTCGTTATTGGATGGAACATCATACTCGAGCACATGATTGGTAATGACGGCAACTGAACAAGATCATTATTGACGAACCAGCTGTACTGGGTAGTGCGCTGGCTAGTCACACGGTGTGTGTWTGTATGAGAGCGATGTTTAGGTTGTGTGTGTGTACACGAACGTGGATGATGATGTATAGGTACCTACTTTACTGACGTTATTTACACTTACGCTTAGGCCACGCGGGTGGCATATATTTATAGGCTCATACATAATTTGTTATATAATTATTATTAATGAACATTTTATAGAATATTGTGTATTTTTGTTAACTTTTTGTCCAACCTTTTGTCTCCGGAWTTTTCGTCTGAGATTCTCTATGTTCGGTTACAATCACCTTCTTCCCCACATATTCTAAAGTGAATTTTGAACGGACTTCAATTCAAACAAAGATTTGAACAATCGTTGAAGATTGTGTATTTCTTAAAAATATTTGACTGTTAACTGAAGTTTTCCCCAACGTTTAGGGAAAGTTGAAAAACAATGTCTCATTCATTGTATTTGCAATTATTAAATTTGATTCCTGATCTATATTGAACGAAAAACAATATGAGAATAGGAAATTATTTTTGAAAAAWTTTKAAAAATGTGTTATTTTAATTAAGTGAATACCCAATTGTAGTATCTTCACTGAAAGGTTTTCTATACGCTCTGTTAYATTATCTATCTATTTGTTTTATTTGTATTACTATCTATTACCTCAGATGTTCTTATTGTACTGTATTGAAACAGAWTGAATACGTCGAATACGAAATTGTAAAAATAAAAAGTGAATACCTACAATTGGTTTATAAAAAAAAAATAACGAATTAACATAAAAAATATTATTCTAGAACCGGGAATCAAACCCAAACCTCCTAATATCCTAGCCACTTGACCATACCAAAGTCTGGCCAATATTGTATACAAAGGAAGTCTATAATATATTAACTTATTTTATAATATTTCACAGACTTACGCRTTTAATTGAATTAAACTCATGTTACACTAGAATCGGTTAAAAGTGATACAAAATAAACCTAAAACTAGTGTATATTTAAAAGCGTTAAACGGTTGAGTTTAGGTTCATAATATTATTGTTTTAAAAAATGTTGGTCACCACTGTTTTAACTCATACGCACATGCCATGTAGTGATTGCACTCTTTTATCTCTTTTTAATTGAAAAATGAAAATACAATTGCATATCGATTGAACAATTTTTCTTCTCTAATACTGCATGATGATTTTCTATGAGTAGTATAATGTTCTCTACTGAGAAATTGTTTTGTCAATTATAAAATAACTGCCGGAATAGTAAGTGGTGGGTAGATGGTTGTGTTTTGTGAAGAAACGAGTTTTCTCAGTGGGGCCCAGACGCCCAGCATTCATATCCATACTATTATAATATTATAATTATTATTATGAAATAAAAAATATTTATGTATACCTATAGTACGTACCTATTATAATTGCAAGCTATTGTTGTTTATTATGATTTGTCGAAAGGGAAGTCGCGAACGCATATATATATATTATATAAATATTCAAAATTAAAAAGATGGATACTATAGATACACGAATTACACATTCTGTGTATAATTTATTTTTAAAATTAACATATTCCATCCAATGATTTTATATCAAACAGCCCAAACAGGTAATTTAATAACAACAAAAACAAAACAGCAAATATGTATCTGCATAATTTCTAGAAAAACCCTGATATTTTTAAAATGTTTTTTTACTTTTCAGTTACTTACTTACTTAAATTAAATCAGTTATGTACTCAAATATTAACGAGTTTTAGACGTTTTGTATTGTTGTTTAATATATTAGTGGTGTTTCTTACATTGAATACCTAATTAATTTTTTATGAATAAGAAGGGTTTTATCGAGTTAATCTCATCAGTCGTTGTTGAGTAGGTAACTGTTATATACGTGTTAAAGTATTTAATGATAAATCGCTATATACAAAAAACAATTCTGAGCAATGACGGAATCTGTGTAACTAAATATATTTAATGATTTAATTATATATTGCTATTATGTAGGCTAGAGTAATTGTTTTACTATTAGAAATACCGTATTTTGTATTGATATTTGCTGCAAACTTGATATTATTTTATAACCTTGAGTTTATTTATTTTTTATTTATTTTACTATAATTTATTCTTCAAGAAGGTAACGGGCCTCAATGAATATGTTCGTATTTTATACGTATATTTAATATTGTATATATTTATGTATACGATACATAATACCTATTCGGGCTATTACCTATGTTATTATTGTAGTTATATTAAGTTATGAGTCAATTATAAAATATTCCGTAGAACACTCTGAATACAAAATTATGTATTTATTTTTTCTATATTTTTTAATTGGTATCTGAACAATTTATGTGGAACCTTGTATTACTATTTGAAGGTTTCTGAGTGTATGATCAAGTAAACGATGTTTTATCGAACAAATCAAAAATATACAGGATGATTCACCACGTATGCTCATCCCATTTTTTCTTTAATAATGCAATTATTTAAAATCTGATTTTTATAATTTTTAAATATACCTACTCGAAGACTATATTTTAAAATTCTTGAGATTTTTTTATACCACTTAAGGTCCTGTGGTGATGCAAACTTTTGTTTTTTTCAAATGAGAACCCCAATTTTTTACTGTAAATTATTTAGCGGATAATTTTTTTGAGAATTTTGATCGCCAATTAGCACAAAAAATATCAAGAATTTAAAAAAATGTAATATTAAAGGAAATAATGGGGGTGAGCATGCTTGGTGAATCATCCTGTATAATATAGATTAATTAATAAGTTTTCTTAAGCATGTTTAGATAAAAAAAAACCATCATTCAATTTATGTAGAATCCAAGAACCTAAAGCATTGTAAAATTAATATACCTATATTCATTTCTCTGCTCAAAAAAAAAAAATAACGGTTTGAATCTTTTGACGCCTCTTTATATTAATTATTTTTCAAATGGCTTGAAAGCAGAATAAAAATTGGTAGGTATTCAATTCGAAAATAAATTAMCAATTACAAGCTCAAATAATATATAAGCACTAGGTAGCCGTATTATCAACGGCATTGCCCGAGGATAAATCAAACCACTATTTTTTCCCATACGTGAACCAATTGCAAGTTAAAAGAGTTGAAGGGTTATAATAGGTACGTGGTTATGATTTTAATATTATTAATATTGGGCAAACCACCCTAAAAAA